AACATAATACATTTATATAAACCTTTTTATAAACCTTATATAAAAAAAATGTACTGGTAAAGTGGTTCACCCACTTACTTACGAATCAATGAAAGTGTGCCAAAGCTCACTTTTTGGTTAAGGAAGGAAATGGGGTTTAACGTCCACTCGACACAAACTAGGTCATTTCGGGACTAACACATGGTTCAATTTTATTTCAATAATTCGCTTGCGCGTAGGGGTCTTTAGCTGTGGGAGAAAACCGGAGGACCCGGAGAAAACCCACGAGGTTGGACAGGCGACCCTACTCCTTGTCACGTACAACCCTCACTTTTTGGATCCGGATCAAAAGATATCTGGCATGCCCATTAGAAAGTCATTTTGTCCAACAATATACCAAAAGAAATGAAAATGAAATGAAATGGGGTTTAACGTCCTACTGTTCTGTGCCTATTGGGCTAATGAAGACTGGCATACGCCATACAGTGTGCTATGAGGGAAATTTTGCCCGGACAGCGGCACTATGGCCTACTCTTATATCGAATCCCAACTGCCACGGGATGTTTTACGTGCACGCCAATGTATACACGGGTCCTCGGTTTTTCATCCCATCCGACAGCTGTCCTTGTCAAACCCTCCGTTCTGCACCGCTAACAAGGGGAAACCACGCCGGAAAAAACCGGTGAACTTTCTCGGCTAATGCGGGCATTGCGGAACACGCGACCTCCAGGCTAGCGATCCAGCGCCTTACCCACTTAGCCGCCGTGGCTCCCATCTGCCGAAAGCTAGTTAACAATATTTAAGAAATCTTGTAAAAAATGTTACTGAACTTTACGATGCGATAACCTAACCACGATTTGGCTCCCTCGAATACAACCTGTCCTGCAAATATAAAAGGTTAATTCGAAAGCTTGCTACCTTTAGCGTCATTAATCTCTAGAAACGTACGAAAGCTTGCTACCTTTAGCGCCGTTAAACTCCAGAAACGTTCGAAAGATTGCTACCTTTAGAGTCATTAAACTCCAGAAACTAACGAAGCTTGCTACCTATAGAGTCATTTAAATAATTATGTTTACATACGTCCTGGTTGGTGAAAAGGACACTGCTCCCGTGGTTATGTAGCTTGTGACATGTCCATTCGAGTGAATCGCCACAAATTCGGTTGTTCGTACTTGGTTTTATTTTATTTAAATACATGTAAATACAATTTGTCATAGATACTTACGTTATTTTAACCATTCCTTCCAGTTATTAAAATATGGGGACCATGTTGTCACTAGTTGTGGTCTCTTAAGGCCTACCAACACAAATTGGTTACCAGGACCACCTAACGAGCAAACCACCTAGCGGAAACAGCAAGGACATCCCCTTGTCGATTACTCGTTTCGTCGGCGATGATTTATCGTGTCCGCGAGGGGGGTTGGATGGCTGAATGGTTAGCACGTATCATAAAGTCTGTCATTGAGTCAACTGTTGTGGTTTCGATTCCCCTGATGTACGTGACAAGGAGTAGGGTCGCCTGCCCATCCTCGTGGGTTTTCTCAGGGTCCTCCGGTTTCCACCCACTGCTAAAGACCCCTACGCGCAAGCGAATTATAAAAATAAAATTAAACCATATGTTAGTCCCGAAATGACCTAGTTCATGTCGAGTGGACGTTAATCCCCATCTCCTTGGAATATCAAGAACTGACAGCAGTTGATTTAAATGGAACATTTGTTTCTTATGTTTTAAACATAGTTCAACGCCATAAACCATCATTTTCAAGTGCAATTTACACTTTTAAGACACATTTCCCTCAAACATTACTTTCACCACAGGCCCGGGACTGTACAGCGCAGTGGACGCTTACGGCTAGCCCCAAGATCCATTCACGTTTTTTGAATTTCTTTATGTGTGTTTTTCTGAGTATGATGTCTTGTCCAGGTAATTGTTTTTGTGTAAATTATGTGTGGTGCAGTCCCCCTGCACTTACTATTTCAGTTTGAAAGCAGTTCAAAATCTGACGACCTCTCATACACAGAATTTTGTAGATAAATCAACCACAATTGGTCGGAAGTTTTATTATTGAGATCTTTAATAATTCCATGCATCATATTCATGATTAATGGTAAATATATAGAGAGAAATGGGGTTTAACGTCCACTCGACACAAACAAGGTCATTTCGGGACTAACATGGTTCAATAGCAATGGGAGGAAACCGGAGGAATCGAAGAAAACCCACGAGGTTGGACCTGCAGCCCTACTCCTTGTCACGTACAACCGGGAGAAATCGAAACCACGCCAGTTGACTCAATGACAGACCTTATGATACAGCGCGCACGTGCAAACTATTCGCCCCCAACCCTCCCATGTATGAGTGTGATATGAAGTTTGTTTTGGTGTCTATTTATGGGTTTTTGATACCAAGTTATTCAATGGGACCATATTCAACCCCCTTTAAAATTGACCTAATTTGTATAATTTTATTATGGGGTTGAGGTGGCCCAGTGGTTTGATTGTCGCGCTCTGAGTTCTTGCTTGCAGGTCCCGCTCTGAGCGTATTAGTACAAGGCGTATTTGAATATTCTACAGGACCACCGATGTGTATCAAGAATTAATTTATCGCTGTTCAGACAAGGTGGTCGTGTATTATCCACTTGACACCTCATCCATAAAGATATAGTACAGTTAAAAAAATCAATAACACGCACACTACGACCTGTTTATCTTATAGTACTTTAACATAAAGATGTCCGATACAGTCCAATTATTTTTTGAGTTGACCTGGTACATTTTCACGTTTTATAATAATCTTAGATATTATACAAGGCTTATACATTGAATGGTTGTTTTTTAATTGCTGTGTGATACGTAAACTCATTTCATAATAAACATGAAATGGTATATGAGGTTAAAAAGTTTAATAAAATTTATGGGTTGGCTTGGAGAGGGTGTGGGGGGGGGCATTTTCACGTTTTTTAATAATCGTAGACAGGCTATGAAGTTAAAAATTTGAATAAAATTGTTATTTATAGGATGGCAATTGGGGTGGGGTGTGTGTGTGTGGGGGGGGGGGGGGTAGTACATTTATTCGTTTTTTAACGAGTATATGAGGTTAAAAAGTAAAAAAAGAGATAGTTTATGGGATGGGATGTGGTACATTTTTGAGTTTTTTTAAAAATCGTAGACAGTATAAAGTAAGTAAGTAAGTAAGTTTATTGCATAAAAACGCCCACGGGGAGCAGCCTACAATTACAAAATGAAACAAAAATCACATAAGAACAAATATACATGAACATAGATAAACGTTACCTTGTTCACTACTGATTCAAGGGCGATGTGTAAAGATATGAAGCTAAAAATTTGAATAAAATTATTATTTATGGGTTGACAATGGTAGGGGTGGGGGGAGGTCAGTACATTTACTCGTTTTTTAATAATCGTAAACACAATATGAGGTTAAAAAGTTAAATACAGTTATTGTCTGTGTATTGAAATATGGCTGTATATACTTTACATGTATTAGTAATAAATATTATAGTAAGTGTACCACATATATGCTGCTCCCCCTGGGCGTTTCTATGCAATACACTTATTTAGTATTAGTAACAAATAGTAAGTGCACCATATATAAACAAGCCTACAGACCATACACAATATATACCGACATTTCAAACAATATACAACTCACGTATACAACTAAGTGAATGAATCCGGAAGCAAGTCGTACACACCCACTGTGCTGTACATTGTACAATGCCCTGTCTGTACATGCAGTGATACAGGTTTCATTCAAAATGAATACAAACTACACTTGTCTCTTAACAATAAGGAGAACTAAATTGATTGGCCTATATTTGTTATAAAGTTGGTAAACATTTTGATTCGATCAGAACTTCTGTATTCAGATTTCCAAAAGCTTTCTTCCCACTGTTAAACACTCATGCGGATTATTGGGATAAACGATGGTCCCGAAATCCGAAATATGACTTATTTTGTGTGGAGTGGACGTTAAGCACCCCCCTCCCCCCAACACCACCACCACCACCTCTCTCTCTCTCTCTCTCTCTCTCTCTCTGGTTTCGATGTCCCTGTTGTACGTGCATATGTTAGTCCCGAAATGACCTGGTTTGTGTTGAGTAGACGGTCTCTCTCTCTCTCTCTTCTCTCTCTCTCTCTCTCTGGGCGACGAACCTGTCAAGGAACAACGTCTAGTTGTTCCGATGGTCCCGTGTACAGGATGCCCAGACGAACTTTTTCTCATCACACATGCATGTTCAATGTTCATCCGTATTACTCTAATCGATGCAGAGCAGTAAGACGTTAAATCATGTAACATGAACATCACTATATCCGTTATCAAATAATACACACTGTTTAGTAATTGATTTCTTACGTTTCATCTGACACAATAGCTAGTTTTTAGTTCGTTTGCCTTGCCCAGATCCTAGACACTTATATTAAATACGTCACTAATTACTTAAAGGTGCATTGAGTAAGATTTAAATAAAGATGCGGTCGTTCTCGCTATTAAAGTTCAAAATAGATAATGAAAAATTATGAATATATTTCAAATATCCGTGAAATTACTTTATTCCGAACGAATTTATGAATGTTTGAAGAATTCGCAAGAGAGTCTCGATTATCAAGTACAATTGCTACACTAATAAACATTATCTCGATTATCGTTTTAACGTTAATAGTGTTTTAATCTAATCAACATCTAAGCCAGCTGATAGTCTAGAGAATAAATAAATAATAATTTATATAACGTTTGAATCTAGAAAAAGACCAGCAACCGGCATATTTAGCCTTTGTATACCGAATCTTTAAATAATCTTTATGTTAAATGCGTCATGGATTATTTTCGTCCATAAAGGTTAATATATAAATACGCACTTTAATTTACAAGGGATATATAAATGAAATATAATAGACGCTCTGCATAAATAGAAGAGTTGTTATATGTAAACAATACGATTTCTCTCATATGTAAATGAAAGGAAATAAATTTGCTCTATCTATGAGTTGATATAGAAATTTATATATCAACATTTATTGTACGTGTGTAGGTGCTCAAAATTCCAAGGCGGCACAGGTTGAAAAGCCTAAGAGTGGATATAGAAATGTATATATCTAAGGTCAACATACATTGAAAAATTTCGACTACCTGTCAGTCTTTTGAGAGTTAACGAAGCATGGAGCGACAAATATAATATTCTCTCGCAATTCGGCTGAAATAGAATCAGTTGGAGGAGTGCAATTAGAAAGGTAAGTCAACGTAATTATTAGAGTACATGTTATAAGAGATTTAATGTGAGAATTATCAGGCGTTTATCGTTAGATGAAAATCCTGGTTTCATATCTTTGTCAATGAGCGAGGGACAAATATCGGGTTTAACGTCCACCGGACACAAACTAGGGTATTTTTGGATAAACATACGGTACAATTTTATTTCAATAATGCGCTTGGGCGTATGAGTGGTCGAAAAAAAACTCTAAGGACCCTAGAAAACAGACGCGGTAGGCGACTCTACTGATTGTCACGTACACGTGTGACGTGGAAATTACGTCACTTGATTCAATAACAGACCTTATGATCTTAAGTACACATTTTAGATCATTCGACTAGAATACCCACGAGGTTAGGCAGGCGACCCTAGGAAACGACTGTAATCTAATGAGCAAGCTGTAAGACCACATTATGAATGACAAGATACACTAGCTATACAATGCATATTTCCGGTAATTATCAATTATAGTAATGAATGTTTGATATACCATTCACACAATGTAGAATTGCTTTTATAAGACAAATTATTATTCGCATATATCTTACAAGGTCAAAGTTACGATCTGTTTGAAATTGCTATAGATCTGCAAATTATTGTGGAATCCTGAAAAAACAAGTAATACAACTTAGTAAATTACACAACATTAGCACTCACAGATACTGGATATAGTATTAATGACATTTCAGTTTATCACGTTTGGTCGCCATTGATATAGACGGCAAATAGGGTTGGCAAAATAAGACCACTGCTTGACCACTGATAGATCATGTTATCAGTTATTTCTTGACGGGACAACTGTGCACTCTGACAACTGGATAGGTTTCTCATGTCGCCTTTGGGCTTTTTTTTTACAACGTTCAAGTCATCACTGTCACTATCACCTGAACTGCTACGTTTTGAGTTGTGATGCGTGTATGGGTTGTTTAGTTGTTTGTAAAGGAGAGTGAGACATAGGCTCATCTTCAACCGTTGTCAATACTTGACTGGGTGACGCCACTAGTTCGTTCCCCCCGTGTTCTCCGGATAACTTGAAGACGAAAATATGCCATAAAGTGTGTTATTCTATGAATGTAAATTGTCCCGGACAGCAATTGAATTTCAACTATCAACGTATCTTTTACGGGCACACCAACTTGTTTGTCTTGTGTATTTGTTTATGTAGGATGCGACACTCCGGTGTTTTTAAAATAGCTTACTATTAGTTTTATTGTTGTTTTATATTATATCAGGTAAATGAAATGCAATGAAATGGGTTTAACATCCTACTGTTCTGCTCCTATACTGGGCTAATGAAGACGGGCATACGCCATACGGTGTGCTATGCGGGAAATTTTGCCCGGGCAGCGGCACTATCGCCTACTCTTATATCGAATTCCAACTGTCAGGGGATCTTTTACGTGCATTCCAATATATACACGGAACCTCGTATCATCCGAAGGACTAAACAGCTGTCTTTGTCAGGCCGTGCTCTGCACCACTGACAATGGGGAATCCACGTCGGAAAATCCCGATGAACTTGCTCCGCCAATGCAGGGGTCGAACACCCGAACACCAGGCTAGCGAACACCTATATCAGGTAAACGCGTTATGAATATTTGCTATGTTATATTTATTATTTCCATTCTCCAATTGATTTCTACCAATATACATCAAAAAAACAAATAGAACTTATATGAACATTGTATCTCTGGTCGCATAAACGGACAAAAAAATGAAAAGAAAAGGGTATTCGAGGCCTATTTTTCTGCACCGACTGGGTTAATCCAGACGGACATACGCCATGCAGTGAGCTATGAGAAAATATTGTCCGGATATGGACTCCTCTGATTGTTAAAAGTTATTTTAGGTAGACGCCGACATGAAGTCAGGATTCGATATGTCGTTCCATCCGAATGACTAGACATTATTCCTTGTCAGGCCGTCCTTCCTACACCACAGTCTATAGTCCTTTGGATTTCACCAAAAGACGAGATTCTGAGTACAGTTTTGGGCTATTACACCTTCATGGATTTCATGGATTTATAAAATAACGGGGTATTTCAGTAAAAAAAAAAACGGGACCAAAAAACCTCGGGAATTAATGTTAGGATTGTATTTCATATATTACTGTATGCCTCTTCATTTTACAATTTTGTTACACATCATAAAATCGTTTTATTTCTTTCATTCTCCTAAATAACTTAACATCATGAACCGGAACAACCGCAATGATATAAACGTTGTTATTTAAAGATATGACAAGGTGGGTCACAAAAAAAACCGACAATTGAAAATGCAAACATAATTTTAAATAAGACCTATTTACTATTATTTTGTTACCAGTTATGGATCTAGTTTAGCCACAAGGGGTCTAGGGCCCCTGGATAGCAAACCATTTACAGGTGGACTTTTCACACATTTCACCGAACATAATTAATTAGAAATTACAATAAGTTATAATTTCCTATACATTCAAGTTACATAAATATGTGCTTTAATAGGGCCACGTGCCCTTTAACATCGTCTTTTCTAGATAGTTTGTTATATAAATAAGGGATTGTGTGATAAATGTCAGGTTAACAACGGTTGAGTGATCTTTAAAAGCTGGATATCGGGATATTAAGAAATAAGTATTATATGCAAAATAGTTATATAAAATATTAAATTCAAGGTCGAGGACAAATAAAGGTTATCGTGGTTTATGCACGAAATCCAAGTAGTGGAAAAGAAATATCAATCTACTCAAATGGTGTTGTTTTTTTTTAAATAGTTCGTGCATCATATTTTAAATGCAACATATTTCTGAGTAATTACGAATTGAAATGGGGTTTAACATCCTATTTTTTCTGATCTAACAGGAGTCATAAAGACAGGTCCACGTCACTCAGTGTACTATGGGGGCAATTATACCCGGACATTGGGAGAGAGAGAGAGAGAAATGGGGTTTAACGTCCACGTGACACAAACTAGGTCATTTCGGGACCAACATATGGTTTAATTTTATTTCCATAATTAGCTTGCGCGTAGTTGTCTTTAGCAGTGGGAGGAAACTGGAGGACCCGGAGAAAACCCACTAAGTTGGACAGGCGACCCTACACCGTGTCACGTACAACCGGGGATTCGAAACCCCCGGACATTGGTGTTGCAGCCTAATGCTTTTTGTCCGACCCAAACGACTTGTCATAGGGCCTGACGAGGAACAATGACAAGTCCTCTATCGCCGACAAGAGGCAACCACTCCGAACGGAAAAATCCCAAGCAACATTCTCAGCCATCACTTTGTGGGGGTCATTTCACGCATATCCACCTGTAGAGAATTTTTAACGACTGTTTGTGGTCTATTTATATTTTATTTTATGAATCAATGTAAATCAGACTAACTTTAATTACGAGGTTATAACAGGTCATGTTTTGTAAAGCACATCTGTTCAAAATAAAAAAAATACTAACCGGACTAATACCTTTTCTAAATGGTTTACAAAGCATAACGCACTAACAATATCAATGTATGCCATTGACAATAAACCATTTATACTTATCAATAGCAATAAACATGCTTTAGTATTTATCGGTTGTATATATTCATTTGGAGGTGGACACGATCGACTTCGCCTATATCTTATTATATTAACTTAGGAATGTTATTCAAATGCTATTAAACTAGGACGTAGACATATACCTCAAACTTTGGAATGCTATTCAAATGACATTAAGCTAGGCCGTTGACATATACTTCAAAGCCAAAATTATGGACTATTGTAATATAAAATAGCAGAGGACGCTTACATCTTGTCCAAGTTCCATTCACTTGGGGAGGATGGATGGCCGAATGGTTGGCATAAGGCCTGTCATTGAGTCAACTGGCGTGGTTTCGAATTCCCGGTTGTACGTGACAAGGAGTAGGGTCGCCTGTCCAACCTCGTGGGTTTTCTCCAGGTCCTCAGGTTTCCTCCCACTGCTAAAGACCAATATGCGCAAGGGAATTATTGGAATAAAAATTAAACCATATGTTAGTCGCCGAAATGATCTAGTTTATGTCGAGTGGACGTTACCCCCCCCCCCCACACACACACACATCCTCTCTTTCTTTCCCTCCATTCAGTTGATCTAATATTTATTTCTTTCTTAATTCCTTATGTAAGTGTAGTTTTTGTCTTATCCGCGGGTTTGGCTTTTTCGGTTTTGTTGGTGTGTAGTCCCACTCCCCCTCCACCGCTCCCTCTGACTTACTAGTAGACGTATCCGAGTATAACATCAACATTCATACGGTAGTTATAATTCGGGATGGCCTTGTGATGTTAGGGTGTAGCTGTTCGAGCTCTTGATGGCCGATCACCTTAGGCTTACGGTCGTGGTTTCGATCACTCGCAGGTATATTCCGGGTAACCCACAGGATAGATTCTTGTATAATAAATATTATCGCCGTTCTTTTATCTAAAACACAGACATGGAGACCAATGCAGAGGCCACTGATACATTTAAATGGTCAACGTTTTCTTTAAAAAAAAACAAATACAATAAAATGGGGTTAATTTCCTATTGTTCCTCTCTGACAGGGCTAATGAAGATGGGCATACGTTATGAAAACATAGCAAAATTTGTCTATAAAGCCCGTTGGGTTAGACACAGGTATCGGATTATAATTATAATGTATATATAACAATTTATTCATATTTACTTTTAGTACAAAAATGATATAGTTATATAGGCACAGCAGATGATATGGTTATATATGCACATCAGATGATGTGCTTAAATAGGCGGCGGAGGCCTTGATCACGGAATAAAACATCGCATTTTATTGTATATTTTTCAAGACATGAAATATCAAGTTTTCCCTGGTTTAATCCAATTTAAAGAAAAAAACACAATATCAACGATTTTAATGATCTCCCGGCTCGGAGTCAATCAGATCTAAAAAATAATCCCTTCAAACGAGTCTAATCAACTGGTTATTGAAGGAACAACGCGTACTCGTTTGGATGGCACTTTTAACGTCGGGGTGCACTTTAAGGAACCCTTGACAGTTGGAATTCAAAATCAGTATATATTCCGACAGCTGACCTGTCAAAATGTCGCTCATAGTACACTGTATGGATCATGCCCGTCCGTCTTTATTATCCCATTTTATATGACTGAAATGACGTATTGAAGAAAGAGTGTAAACACATTTTCATATCAGCCCAGGAGCCATTTGTTGCATGTCAGTCTCAGGCAAGAGGAGTGAGTAGGGTTTACATTTTAGAAACGTAAGTTTTTTTTCATAATAGCCTGTTTGCTGTTGTGTTTATAAATGCATGTTTTATTTTATCATTTAAGGATGACTAGAACAATTCTACAGCTTATACTTCCGGTGCTAATTGTGTCATTAGCAACAGCAAACACGTGTCACCAGGATGCAGAAACATGTGAATTTTGGTTACACATTGACCACAGAATGACGATGGTAAAGGGTCGAATTGCTGTTTTCCCTGAAAATGGTCAAATCTACAGTTATGATACCGTCAACACTTCCGCCGCCACGCCAATGGATCTATCAGACGTTATAACCGCTGATGGCTGGGAAGGATACCGTTTAGTTATAGTAGCTAATAATAGTTTACCAGGCCCACCTATAGAAGTCTACGAAGGTCAAACTGTTGTTGTACATGTGAAAAACGCATTAACCAGCGAATCTGTTACTATTCATTGGCACGGACTCCATCAGACGGGTACCCCTTGGATGGACGGCGTAGCTTTTGTTAACCAATGCCCCATTCACCCCGGTGGGAGCTTCACCTACAGATTCAAAGCTAAACCTAAAGGTACCTTTTGGTATCATTCACATGTGGGCTCACAGCGAACCATGGGTTTATATGGAGCGTTGATCATTCGTGAGAAAAAGCCAATGGTGATGAAAGAATTAATTGCCGTTATTACAGACTGGAACCATTGGGATTCAACGGAGGTTCATCAACGAATGATCTACGGGATGTACGATCATCGTGTGAAACTGGGTAGCACCGACTCACTGGATGGGTCCCATTTCAGTTTGTTTCGATACCAATCGGGCTTAATTAATGGCAAAGGCAGATTATACGATGGAAATAAACACAACGGGGCTCCTTTGCATATATTTAATGTTACTGCTGGAGAACAGTACAGATTTCGATGGATTGCAGCAGGTGCTCTCTTTCCGTTTCGTATATCCATTGATGAACATAATCTCACCATCATAGCTTCAGATGGTTATGATTTGAAACCCCAAACAGTTGAATCACTAGTGATGAATCCTGGTGAGCGATACGACTTTATCATTACGACAGACAAGCCAGTGGGAAACTATTGGGTTCGCGCCATCACTCTTGAGGTGAACGTCAATCACACAGCGGAGGCCATTCTTAGATATGACACAGCTGCTAACATGGAACCTGATTCAAGCAAAAAGGCGTGCACGCAAAATGATAAATGTGTTGTAGCAAATTGTCCATTTTCTTATTATCCTATAGAAGCCAATACCGTTTGCATTCGATTTGATGAGTTTAAAGCCCTTCCTGATAACGACCCCGCACCTACAGCACCACAAGATCAACTACAAGAACGTTTCATAAACTTTGCTTTTCCGGGAATTAACAGGTATCCAGGCTCAGCCAATGGTCGATCATTTGTAAATCCACCAGTTTCAGCCATGACCCAACCTCAAGAATTAGGGAAGTATCGTTGTGGTGAAGAATGTACGGAGCAAACGAATTGTCATTGTTTTGGCACAATGGATCTGGATCACAACAAGGTTTATCAGATAGTGTTTCTTAATATGGGTAACGGAAAGGGTTGGGCGCATCCAATTCACATGCATGGCCACTCGTTCTACGTCGTCAAGATGGGATATGGATCATACAATGAAACGACTGGGAAAATAATGGAGGACAATTTAGATATTGATTGTCGTGGCGGTAAAGACAGATCTAAAAGTTTCTGTAACAATGCCACATGGTCGAATTCGACATGGTTTGGTGGCAATGTCCCAGGTTTAGAACTGACCAATCCGCCACGAAAAGACACAATAATCGTTCCAAGTGGGGGCTATGTTGTTGTAAGAATCAAGGCGGATAATCCCGGAACGTGGTTTATGCATTGTCATATAGATCTGCACGCAAGTGATGGAATGGCCCTTGTTTTAAACGAGTCTTTTCCACACCATCCAAAAGCACCGAAGGACTTTCCTAGATGTGGCGATTTCGAATATGATATGTCCAACGAGAACATGGAACCAGATCCCGAGAAGGAGAATATGAAACCTGCAGGTAAATATGCATTGTATTTGACCTCAAGCGTTATTATAATAACGAGACTGCTATTGGCTTACCGCTTTAATAGATAAATAAATAATAGGAGCCACGATGACTCAGTGAGTAAGATGCTGACCTATAACCGGGAGGTCTCGGGTTAAAGCCCAGTGTTGGCCGCGATTCGTTCCGCGGTAGTTTCCGGTGTGGTTTCCCTTGTCGTAGCTGCATTAGAGATGCCGAATTATGTCTAGTCGTTGCCCAACATAACAACTGAGGTCCCGTGAAGACTTTGGCGTACATGTAAAAGATCCCTTGACAGTTGGGATGTGATATAAGAGTCGACTTTAGTATTCTGTCCGTCTTCATTCCCTCATAGCACAATGTATTGCGTACGTCCGTCTTCATTTGCCTAGCCAAAGTAGAAAAAAAGTAGGATCGCTATAGATAATAAATTAATAAAGCTACTAAGTCAGAGAAAATATACACCCGTCAGATTCACATCACATCAATGCGGCTACGTGTACGTTCTGGTCCCTGGAGCTGTTTCAGAGGGTTCGCCCTTGAGGTCAAACGCGTCGTGCTTTTAAAGAAACGTGTTATAATGACGAGAGCTCGTTGTATGTCGTTGATTATACGTAGATTATAATTCCTTGAAATTAATACATGGTTTGTTATTTTGAATGTTTTATTTCCAGAGAAAATGGTATCGAACGAACAGTTCTGGGTTGTAACTGGATGTCTAATTGGTGGCATCGTGCTTCTTGGTTTCATCATTGTGTGTATGGTTTGCAACAAAGAAAAGACTAAAAAACAATATGAGATGAAATATGCCGTGGGTCAAGACAATAAAGTCTTCACTGTTAATTCATAACAGCATTTGATGCTTCAACCTATACAGGAACGTGCATGGGATGGCGGGGGGGGGGGGGCGCACATAACAATTAACAAATTAGTACATAAAGAGGTCACCCATGTAAACTTTTCTCGAATAACTGTATATATATTGCAGTAGCGCAGATTTGCGGTTGTGCTTATATTTTGGATATATTTATATATAAAGACAATGGACGTCTCGGGAAGGTCCATCTAAGGTTTGGTGGGAGACAAGTATTTATCTGTTCGGACTTAGAGGCAGCAATCGTCCTTCATTTGTAAATAATCTTAATTAAATTAACCTGTACATAATGTCATATCTATGTACTGGAAGTTACAATTTTAATAAATAACAATAACAATAACAGCGACAGTACTCCTACCTCTCTAGTATACCAGTTGGAGCAGAACAATAGGACGTTAAACCTCATTCCATTTCCTATCTCTCAATATGTTGGTTCATATTAAACATGCATTATAGAATATTTCGATAACGAACTGACAGTTCTCGTTGTAATAGTTGTAAAATAGATATTAAATATTCCAATCAAATTACTTCATTCAGAGCGAAGGTATAAATGTTTGAAGAATGAGACCTGAATATTCATTTCTAAATCAAATTGTTATATGGTGACCATGTAGCGGGGGCGGAGCGCGGCGACGAAGCGTGATTCGTCCGTGTCCCAGGCCCAATTCACCCAGGGCCTGAATTCGATGTCCTAAATCATTCACGGGATCATGCGGGTTATTTTGATACCACAAATGGTGGGGGTGGATGGCAGCGACGACGCGTGATGGACGAAAATACACACGTTTGATATGGTTACATTTGGGATTGTTTCTATTTTAATCATAATTCTCATGAATATATATATATATATATATAAACACAATCACTGTCATTTCAACAGACAGCCGCAATGTCTGAGTGAGCAAGACGTTGGTTCGCTAACTTCAAAGTCCTTTGATCGATCCCGGTTTAGGCCGAGGAGACAGTTCGTCGTGAAATTCCGACGTGATTACCCCACTTGTCAGTGGTGCAGGGCGGGCGGCCTGGCTTCGGGGAACACAAAACTCCGAGATCCCGTGTGTATATTTGCGTGAAAATAAATCAATCATTGACAGTTGGAAATCGATCAGGACTCAAACTAGTAATTATTTGCTTATTGACTTCAATGTTAAATGGCTGTAACATCACAGGCTGTAGCTTTTTACTCAACATTCTGTTGGTTCCAATCTTTATAGGCACAATGGGGATATTTGGCAATATTTTCATCATAATTTTGTAGGGGGTTGACCGTTTAGATTTTTGGCTACGGGAATTTGATTTTGCTTCAGTTGAAAATCTCACTTCAGTTTCAGACACAATGATTGCTCTGCAGAAAGACACTTTACACCCCTATCCCTCTGTTGTAATATCATATCAGTGTTACAAAAAATTGCTATGAAATTGCAAATTTGATTCCTTTTCTCCAATTACCATTTCTTCTTAAAACGTTAGACGTTAGGCGTAGACCAGTGGTTCTCAACCCTTTTTGGCCAATGGCACACCTTAGAACACGTGAAAAACTAGCGGCACACCTGGCTAAATATATGTGAAAAAGTTTGCAAAAAAACCCAAAACACGGCAAGTCATAGACGACATACAACCACAAAGACTAGTCATATAGAGTAACTCAAACTAGATAAAGAAAAACACAGCTAGCAACCTACTATTAAACCCCAGTGAATACTCATTTTGGATCACGGGCTTTTTCGCATTTTCTTAGTGTGTCGTTTAAAATGTCGCGGCACACTTAGGAAGATCTCGCAACACTTGTGTGCCGCGACACACTGGTTGAGAATCACTGGCGCAGACAGAGGCGGCGGACATCTCCATCCACAACAAATACCACCTTGATTTTCTCCAAGTCCTTCGGTTTCCATCCACACGCCCAATAAATCTGTAAAACTTAAATTGAACCATATGTTCGTCCTCTCCCCCACCCTCCCTCATGACTGATCCACGACACTTATCTTCTCTCTCTCTCTCTTCCATTTTCCCAATTACCTCGAATAGTTCGCTTAAATAATATTAAGGTAGAAAACCAGGGGCGGATCTAGGAATTTTGAAAAGGGGGGGCGCCGAAAAATGAGGGCACGCCGCTGAGAGGGGATTTCTTTATTTTTTTTTGGGGGGGGGGGCCCAAGAAAATTATCCGTCATTTCCTTGCATCTGTAGCCATTACAAGAGCTATTTGGCTGATACTGTCCACACATGAAACAATGCTACATCAAGTTGCACTCATGCGCGTCGATGATGGCCATGAGTGTATACGCCGCCGATTCCACAAGATGTTTGTCTATACGTCACTCTATAGGATTAGGGCACCGTCAGCTAAACAACAAGAATTGGTGTGTTTAAATCGATGGTCTGAGTCATTTGAGATCCCTGTAACGGATTGTGAACGGACATATTTGGGTCTGAGAAAAGGCACTTTTAGCAGTAAAAAAGGGCACTGGTCCCCCCCCCCCTTGAATGTGATTTTATGGCACGACAGCACCAACCGGGCTTTATTGCGCCAAACATACCCCCCCCCCCCCCTTGAATCCGCCTCTGAAAACGTTGTTAAATGCTAAATGAAGATATAATATGAAAACTGGGATGCACACCTATGACAGTTTATTATGAAAATCTATGATTTATTGTTTTGGTGTCTTATCGGCACAAACACACCGTGAAAATAAGCACGATCTGATTATTAGTTTTAGACTATCTGCAAAATTTTCATTTGTATTCCAAAGCGGAACGTTTTTAATTGGTGGAAATCTTCGAAAAAATATAAGTGGGGGGGGGGGGGTAGTCTCTATCGCGTTCAATATGTTGTCGACGATAGGTCCAGTGGGCGTGCTAACTCAGAAACGAAAGGTTGCGTGATCCATAGTCTTCGCCCTCGCCTGGCCTTAATAAGTTAAATTTTAAAACAAATTGGCTAAAAACTAGTGTCTCATTGGAACGCTGGAAGAACCCACTATTAGTTATATATTTTAAGTGATAGTTGATTAAAACGTGTCTTACTTATGTAATAAATTATGTTATGTATTTATATAATAAATTATATTATGTATTATGCAAAGTCTATTTTTCTTTCAGGTGAACTGTTTTGGGTTCTTAGTAACCGAATCAGCTTTATTATCACTAGTCGTCCCATTCTGACATTTTTGACTCCGGGATTGATGCGCTATCTGACTAAACAGCTTGTCCCGGGTTCAATCCCAGTAATGGCCGAGAAAGTACCTTGGGATTATCGAGTCTTGTGTTGCAGGATGGGCCGTGTCTTGTCGTTTATATAAAAATGGAAATTACTAACATTCAGGGGCTCGTCAATGAATTTGAGCATAAAGTGGGTGGGGCGGTCTTGGTCGGAGACAACGTCGTTTGGGAAATCATTATAAAATATAAATGTCTCCACCTCCACCCCCTTCAGTATTATTACTTTATTAGTAGATTAAGATCATCGGATTGTTTAAAAATTAAATTGATGTCAGTGGGGAAAAATTACTAGCCTGAACGGCTAATCTATTTTACGAGGCCCAATGCATAATTCGTCAAGGCCGGCGAGATGTAAACAGGGTTAGGGCACGTGATTGCTGTCGAGGATTGTGGGTTAGCGTTAGGTTAAGGCATAGGGTTAGATCTTGGGTTAGGGTTAGCGCTAGCCCTGTTCACACCTCGTAATTATGCATTTGGCCTTGTAAAATAGATCTAACAGTCATGAACATTAAAATAGATTGATCTCCCTTGCATAAACTGAAACAAGGAAGAAATCGTCATTAAAAGAGGGGAAGAATTATTTCATCAGATAACTACAAGATACAAGATTGTTTAAGTAAATAGGTGAGTTGTTATGATAAAAGTCTGTAGAGACGTCAAACACAATATATAGGTATATCGATATATTGCCATGCGTTACGGACATGTCCTAGAAAATATACACCAACAATATCAACTTCTGGTTTACCCTTGAACGTCACTATATGTCAAGACCTCAACGAAGCAAGTACTCTTAATTTAGTAACAGTGTCGATCTATCCACTCGTTCACTACAATACGAATAACACAGTGTTTAATAGCAAACTAAGTACAACGAAGGTATCACAGAGAGAGAAGGAGAGAGAGAGAGAGATTTCTTAAGCGGACCAAAATAATTTTGATCGTCTATTGGACTCCAGAAATTTCACCTGTAACCTGTAGGTTTGACAAGGAAAGTACCTATTTTTATCGTTCAAGAATGGTATATTTTTATAAGCTTATATTTAGGTTACGTTATTCAGGCATAACGCAGAAATCAAATATTAAAAAAAAAATTAAAGTACGTCATACATGCTCTGATCTTACTATATGTATTATATTATATATATATACATACAATAATTATACACGTTACATATATTATATTATATTACATTCTGGTATAGTCTCAAGTTGTTTATATAAGAATATAACTTGATGTAAGTCAGGTTCGGTCCCAGGCATTTGAACACGTGGGGGGGGGGGAGAACATCCTGTAGGAGATTAGAGGATGTGAGACAATATTTCTACTCATTAAGGAAACATGTATAGGATTCGAGTGGTGGATTGTTCGATGTTGGACTGAGAATAAAATAGCAAAAATTCCCCCTGGCTTCATGATAATTTCTCCATACCAATACCCCTCCCCCACCCTCCGTGGCCTTATGTATATCAATTTTTGCTGCCAGGAATCATTCAAGGAAATCAGCATGCTTTTACTGGTTGAATTTTGGATATACAATAAAATAAAATGGCAAAGTCTGGTATTAATGGGGACGAGAATTATTAGTCTGATTCCATAAGTAGAAAAGTAGATTTATCCCCCTTGCATCAACTGAAAGCAGGAAGACATCGCCTTTAAGAGGGAAAGTAATATTTCAGCAGCCAACTACAAGTTTGTCTGTAAGTATATAGGCGTGTTGTTATAATAGACGGCTGTAGATATGTCAAACATAATATATGCGTTTCAGTTCAAGAGAGAGAAGTGGTATCGGATGTTATACAAAGAGGAAACATGTCTTGCCTCGTACATAAGCCGATGGCAACTGGGGAAACTATAACTCTTAATAATTAGTAGAACAATTTCTAAATTAGTGTCATTCTTTCAATTGAAACGCCTTACATGTGAGTCACTATCTATTTATGGAAAGGGGAAAACCAGTTTTCAGCTAATGTTATCAAGTCCTTTATTCATTTTTATGTACATTGCATATAGGGACTATGTAATCAAGGCTTGTGCCTGGTAGAATGCAAACCATATATTGTATTGTCGTTGTTGTTTATTACATAGAGAACGAGAGAGAAATGGGGTCTAACGTCCACTCAACACAAACTAGGTCATTTCGGGACTAACACATGGTTTAATTTTATTTCAATAATTCGCTTGTGCGAAGGGGGTCTTTAGCAGTGGGAGAAAACCGGAGGACCCGGAGAAAACCCACGAGGTTGGACAGGCGACCCTACTCCTTGTCACGTACAACCGTGGATTCGAAACCACGCCAGCTGACTCAATGAGAGACTATGATACAGCGCGCACACGCTAACCGTTTGGCCATCCATACAATAAATATGATATTATGGACAGGTTGATTTAATTAAAGTATTGTATTTATACTTAAAGGGTTGACAATTAGTAAAAACACAAAATAAAAAAGTCCTTGTATATAAATAGTCACCCTAAAACACACTTATAAAATCGCTGTCGTGAGAAGAGGGGTGGGTCATTTTCTCCCCTTGTCATAACGAAAACAAGTTAAAACAGGAGGTCCAGCTGATCGATGTTTGGCGTCATCAGTGCGGATAGAACAAAAAAAAACCATGGGGAAAGAGAATCCGCAAAGCAAAGTGCTCGCGGTAAAAGCCACATAACTGGAACAGTGGATTATTTACATATTTAAAACTGTTCGTTCAATAAGTTTCATATGGTTAAACATTAGTTAAAAGTCCTTTAATGCCGTTCACAATTTCAGCGTTTAAAAGTTAAAGACATTCCATTAGGGGTCTTCATGCTACCTGAAAAGAAAAAGAAGAGTCAGCAGCAACACAGTACAAAGTAATTAAAACAAATTAAACCATTTATAGAAATAATACATGGCATTAATATTTTAGACATGAATTAAATTAAATTGATTGATATACACTGTCATTGTTAATGTTGATTGTGTAGCTAGGTACCTACTCATTTGTCATTAGTTTTCTCTATTAGTCGCTAAGTGGGTAAGACGCTGGCTTGCTATAGCCTGGAGGTCGGGTGTTGGATCCCTGCATTGGCCGAGAAAGTTCATCCAGATTTTCCGGCGTGGTTCCCCCATATCAGTGATGCAGGACGGAGGGCGTGACAAGGACAGCTGTCTAGTCGTTCGGATGGGACGAAAAACCGAGGTCCCGTGTACACATTGGTGTACACGTAAAAGATCCCTTGACAGTTGGAATTCGATATACGAGTAGGCCGTAGTGCCGCTGTCCGGGCAAAATTGCCCTCATAACACACTGTATTGTGTATGCCCGTCTTCATTAGCTCAGTTCGGAGCAGCACAGTAGGACGTTAAACCCCATTTCATTTCATTTCATTTCATTTTCTCTAATATCTTATTGTAATAAATCATACAGACTGAATCGCCATACTGTCCTATAACAATAGTTCCTTCCGTTGTAACTAGATATGTATATCTCTAATGTCAATTTATTCTGATATTATTAAAGCATCCAGCTGGCTTAGCCGCCAACCTGGTCTACACAACCAGTTATCTTTCCATGACTAGTGCTCTTTTTGGAAATAATGGTACGCCAAGATCAAAGGATGACGTCACATCTGTATTTTAAATGTACATAACTAATAGTCTTTATTTATTTGTGTATTTTAGTGAGGTTGAGATAATAAAGGCCGCTGGATATAGATTAACAGCCAAATAAGATGGCTACAGAGAGGTTCGTATATTAAATAAATCAGGCTTTAAGATCTGTCGATCACCCATACAATATTGTAGATCAGAGTTAACTGGGATAAGGTACAATTAGCCTAGTGTAGATACGGTGAACATCAGGGTTAACTGGGGTAAGGTATACCGGTGGACAGTTTCGAATAACACCCAAACTAAACGGTATATTTAGGCAATTGCATTTTTCAAAAATTAGAATGGCTGTATAGTATAGAATAGCTTTATAAAAACGTATTTGATTAATTCCTGATTCATAGTAATTAACAGAGATTGATAAGACATAATACGTTGAGTTTTTACAATAGAGACTTTTGGCAAGCGTAAATTCTTGATCCGTATCCGTATGGATTTTGTGTGTGACGTCATCAATGTGTGTGTATTTCTCATACGTGATACGGCACACGGATACGGCAGCACTTATCGAACAGCTTTTATACTGAAAAGGTCCGTATAACATCTTCGTCTTTTTACCGTCTTTTGTGCTACTTGTAGACGCTGAATTGTTGTATCGTTGTAGCGTTTATGAATCTATGTGTATCATCGAACACGAAGGTGTATATTTGATGTGATTTTAACAATGAAAAAGACTGGAATTTAATAATTATTTTTGATAGTTTTTCTCGGAATTTTCATACTTTTCCTGTCTGTCTGCATGCTGGTTGATCTACATGCTAAATTCAGGGAGGTGGAACTTTGCAAATGACTTAATTCTATGGTAAAGGGGTATAAACTTTCTGAAATGATGCATTAGTGAAACCAAAAATTGCTGTCGAGTTGAAATCGAAGATTTTTTAAATAAGATTCAACATTAAATTTTTTTGAATAGCTCAGCGACTGCCGAGTGACTTCTCCCCCTCCGGGAAATTGTAAGCTAGGTACTTGACTAGTACTGATGGTGATCTGGGTAGATAACTGTCATCATGCTGTAATAGAACTAAGATCAGCTCAGCTATGCATACTTACGCGACGCGAAAATCTGCCAAAACTCTAAAACTACATTGACGTAACGTATCACGTATACGATACGGATACGTGATACGGATGGAAAAAAATCCGATTGCCAAAAGTCTCTATTGTAACATTGTTATAACTAAAACAACATGTTTAATATATTGTAGGCTACTGAAGTCAATACTACACCAAGCTCAAACAGATGGAAATACTGGAGAAATCATTAAAACATTGTCAGCACAAGATAAGAAGAAGGCTTTACGTATAGCTGCCAGAGAAGGGTTGTATAAGGTTCTGATTTTTCTATTGGACCATGGTATTGATGTTGATCGTTATAAAAACCACCTGATACACCTTCTTTTAGATAGCTATAAACGATATGACAATACATATATGCATGATTTGTTACAATGTGTAATTAAATTAGTTGATGCCGGTGTAGACGTTAACCAGTTGAATGAACATTTAGAGACAGGTTGTTCTGTAGCTGCTAGTTACAGATTGTATGACGTTTTGATGTATCTGTTACAAAATGGAGTAGATGTACATGATGTTGATAGATTTCAACGCAACATTCTTCACTATGTATTGGGTTGTATGCATTCCCTTGTGAAATATGACGAGCAATATAAAACTATAAAACTCGTTACGACTTTAATAAACATGAAATCAGACATAAACCAACCTGACTATGAAGGTAATACCCCGTTGTTCTATGTCGGTATATACATCCCTTCTAATGACATTCCCCCACTGAACCTTGGAAAAGCGCACGCGAAAATAATGAAATTAGAGACAGAACAGGACCCCTATTTTCTATTAAAATGTAGATTGATTAACATGTTGTTAGAAGCTGGCTGTAACGTGAACCACCAAAACAAACTTGGAGTAACGGCCTTAATGCACCATATACAACTCCAAGCTGATATCAGTCTATTAAAACTGTTAATTCCACATTCTGATCTAAGTTTATCTGATAATAATGGTAATACAGCAATAAGTTATTGTGTTCAATATCACATGATCAGTTCTACACCCGTCTTTAAACTTTTAGTAGATTCGGGTTCAGATCTGATGTCCTGTAACAATGGAGTTAAGTTATTCCATGATATTTTAAAATGTAAGAGATTGGGAGTGTTCCGTTATTACATTGGACTAAAGTTGGTTGTTAATGGTGTTACAGCTGAAGGGGAAAATATGCTTCATCTTTTAGCAGGTGTTAACTATGATTATTCTTCAAACAAGTTTAACTGGTTGTTAAATAACGAGCTAGATATTAACCACCCCTGCTCTAAAACCAACACACCGACTATGATAGCTGCCTTTTTATTAAACAGTAAATATTTAGAACTAGTTACACGTCACCCTAGACTAAAGGTCAATACACAAAATAACCAGGGTTATACAGCTCTTCATCTGTGTATCATTGGCTTTACGATGTTTAAAGATGGCTTAAACAAGAGACAGGTAAATAGTGTTGTTAAGAATTATTGTAGACAGATATATCCAATATACATGGCTTGTATTGATACTTTACTTGGAGTTGATGGAATAGATGTAAATATTCCAGATAATGGGGGTAAAACTAGTTTAATGATGGCTGCTATGAAAAATGACAGAGTTCTTACGAGGAAACTACTCCAGGCTGGTGCCATAGTTAACACGTTAGACTATTCAGGAAGATCAGCTATACAATATCTTGATATTTATCAGAGTGTATTTGATTTGACTTGTTTTAAATTACTTCTATCTAATGGCAATACTGGTCTTCTCAATTTAACCTGTATTGGTGGTAACACGATTATCCAAACAGCCTTGTGTTTTCCCCGCTTCTGGGAACCATACCACGTCGTTCGTTTTGTTACATATTTAGTTGCTGAAAACTGTTGTGTTCAGACTCTCGTTACGTCTTCAGTTAAAAGTAGCTATAATCAAATTGGTCTTACTGATCTAAGTAGTTCAGATAGAGATAAACTGAGAAAACTGTTATATTATAGTGGCGCCCAAGGGGAGGAAATTATGACAACATTAAACTTTGATGAGGAAGATAAACCATATGAAGACAACGACACAATTGGCTCACGAGGCAGAGGGCAATTCGCTAGCTTCTGTAATAATATATCTCTTAAGTCTATTTGTAGAAGAAACATCAGACAGCTTCTTGGATTGGGAATAAATGAAAATGTTAAGGATCTAGATTTACCTTATGAATTAAATGGTTTTCTTCTACTAAAAGATGTCCTTCGGTCACAAGAGTACAACTTAGACCAGATTGATGATGGCTGTAATTATTTTGATGATGATGATGATTATGATGGTTATGATATAGATAAAGAGAGCGATGATGATTATAGTCAATATAAATACCAGTATTTTACTCTCAATACAGATGATAAACTAAGGCAAGATTTCATAAAAACATCATTATTTCCTAATGGTGAGGTTGATGATGATGAAGGTAGTGATGATTTTGCTGATGGTGGTGCAGCTGCTGCTGATGATAATGATAATGATAATGCTGATTAACATTAAACCATATCCGAGGTGACTCCAGTGTTTGTTTTGGCGTATTCTGACGAGCGATAAACTACAGTAGTTTTTTGATAATTACCGTCTCCCTAGTTTTTGTGTAAGCCCACAATAATAATAAAAATATTAAGAATTTGTTCAAATATTTGACTAATAGTTATAACTGATAGCAAATTAGAAATTATCGATTTAATTGATATACACACATGTTATGTGTACATATTATGTTGTCATAACCCCTGTCCTTTCTCGTTTGCTCATATTTCTGGAAACATTCTGTACTACAAATTGCTTTCAAAGACAAAAACATGTTGATTTATGTAATGTTTCAACTTTGTTACACCAAAATTTAAGAATAATTATATGATAAAAAGAGATAAAATGTTTATTGAAAGATTTTATTGTATTTGTTCACTATATTATATTGAATTATAAAGAGCTGCGTTTTCTGTGACTTATTCGAAAAATTCCCTTCTTCTAATTTATGTCTATGTTAAAGTGTAGTATGTCAAGTGCGTAATGGCTTTGAGTGTAATCTGGGAGGATGTTAAACTGGTACCATTCCTTCCGATTTATCTGTCCACGACCCAATATACTATGATCAAGTGTGTAATGGTATTGAGGGTAAGCATGTAGGGAGGGTATATCACTGTAAGACTGATACCGTTCCTCTCAATTTAGATGTCTACGGCACATGTGTGTAATTGAAGGAGGGTTAATGTAAACAAATTTACTGTGGCCAAGTGTGTAATAGTGGGGAAGAGGTCATGTAGGGCCGATATATTACTGTTAAACTAATAGCGTTCCTTTCAATTTACCTGTCTCGTCTCAAGGTATTGTGAGTAATGTATACACAGGGGGGAACCTGCCTTTCTATCCCAACCAAAACACTGGGCAACTGACCTTGTCAGACAGTGAGCACTGGGTTTGATAAATCCCGAATGTGCTTTCCGACTCACACCGATATTCGAATCCACAACATTCCAGTTGTTTGGTCCAATGTCTTAATCACTTGCCTACTATGGTTCAGAGACTTTATGCGATTGGTTGAAAGCTAAATTTATGGGGGCATAAATCATCGACCCAGTAGTTTTTAAATGGGACGATTCGGTTAACTAACTAAGGTAGAACTCATAATTAAGATTTCCCGAGTGTAACCGACCCTTAATTACATGACAAATTCAAATTTTATAAATTTATCTATATTCGTGTAGTGCACAGAAGTAACAGTTGGTGAAGTTTAAAGATATACATTTTCACACACACACACTCCCTTCTCCAAACATGCCCACTTCCTAACCAGGCGCCATCACTTTAAATTCCTTTACGAATAACTGAATTATTTACGTCTATTCCCTTAGTGTGGTGGCCACATTTTCACACACACACACTCCCTTCTCCAAACTTCCTAACCAGGCGCCATCACTTTAAATTCCTTTACGAATAACTGAATTATTTACGTCTATTCCCTTAGTGTGGTGGCCACCCAAGAGGACAATATCATAAGTATGAGAGCCGAGTTATTCCAGAGTATTTGGGATATTTTTTTGCGTAGATTTTGATTTGGGCTGGCGTTTGGGAGGAGGAACTTTTTCCAGGATACGGTCGGGACAGAGGTCGATGTCTAAAATTGCGTAAAATGTTCAAATAAGTGTATATAATTTACTGTTTTGTTTGGCATGGGGGCCGGGGCAGTGTGTCTCTTGCCTAAAAATTGCGTAAAGTGTGTAAATAAATGTATATAATTGTCTTGGACAACTGTTTTGTTTGGTATCGGGGGAGGGTGTCTCTTGCCTAAAAATATCGGGAAGTATGATTATGGACTATTACAACATTAATTTATAGCACTGGACACTTTCCTCTCTGGTCGGATAAACTAGTGATTTGGCGACAGGCGGTATCTGGTCAGCTCTATTTGCCTCGTAAATTGGTGCTTGAAATACTACCAGACCGCATTTCCGGAAGTCTATTTTTCAAAATTTTGTCTTTTCCATGTAGAATTGTCTTTTGTCATTGTTTGTAGAGATCCTAGATTTCTTTGCAAAATGATCAACACCATATCAACAGTTACATCAAATACAAAGCTTGCACCGAACGCACAACAGTTTAGATACTATCGTGTTGCCATTGCCTCAGTCCGTTCTATGTGCAGCATTATACCCGACGTGAAGAAGCTGACAATGTATAAAATTCTCGCTAGGCAATTATGAACTAGTTCCCCACAAATGTTAAGGATATGGTCGACGGGTCACGAAATACTCTTTGTAAAGAGGTAGAAGTGTACAGCACCTTACAATAAAAGAGGGGCTTCAAAACTAAGAGCGCCGACCATAACGGACTAGATGTGCGGTTTTGGGCTTCAAAAGCAGTTTATCTGATGGACATAATGGTAGACCAGAAAATAAATTTGATGTTTAGCAAGTAACCCATGTAAATTATATAAGCCGGGAGTTATGTTATAATCTCTTTTAGTTCAATTAACAATTGTAAATGCTTTTTTCTGTACTGTTTGCAATTATCTATGATATTTAAAAGGTAAAACAACTAAAAGTGACATAACATCGTGTTTAGTTGATCTCGCTTTAGCAGAACATGAAGAAAAATTATGAGATTTACCAAATACAGCCGCTAAGTTATCGTATATAAATTGACAAATATTCGGGTTTGTCATCATTCAATTTTATGAAGTTCTTTGACAATTCTGTTCTAATCTAATTGTAAGAGAAGTCTGTATCATTCCAGACTCGGGATTGCGCACTACAGTGGCCGTTTACTTCTGACCACCGGGTCCATCTACTTGATATAATATTTACGTGGTTGCTGTTTATTGCTTACAATGTCTGTGTATTTTATGTAAAACAATGATACAGTACAGTTAGTCTTATTAGCCGCTATCTCCTCGTATTATTAATTCACATATGATTGCCCGTTTAATGAGACAAAATATGTCATTGTGGGACTAACTCAATGACAAACCAAGTGTATTCACGGGTATGTCTGCTTATTTGCCTATGCTTTTATACAGCACTATCTGGAAGTGTGGAAGTTTTTCATTCTTATTCCCATAGCAATGGTATTGTCTAAATTAGAAACAGAAACGGGGTGAAATTTAAAAAAAAAAATTCGTATGTGCCAGGAATAACAGTATAACAGTTTCTTTAATATCTTTATATTGTCCCGTCCAAGTCTAACCAGCATGACAATTCTCTGCTGTGGACGCCACTACATCATGAAATGGTTGTCTAAAGAATCTGCCTGATGTCTAACGACACGTCTGATATCTGACGATTGGTCCTTATGACGTAATTGGTAACTTTCCACCATAAGCGATTTAGACAATAAACAAAATAGTCTTGACAGTTTGACTCCTCATCCTGCTATTCTCAAGGTATCGGAATATGAAATGAAATGAAATGTTGTTTAATGGCACGTCAGCTCCAACCGGGCTATATTGCGCCAATCATATGGTGAATTTAACAAGACAAATTAAAACAATATCACAGGAATGTATTCATATATGTAAATAAAAACAAATATCACAAAAAATATACTTAAAAATAAATATATCAATTCCTTTACATATATAAATAGTATCGGAATATAAATTAACTGTGTTTTCAAATAATCTGATTACAAAATATATTATTCATATGTATTTTGACAAGTGCGTGTCATCTAACTGGTTCATACACAAACCGACCAATACTTATATTCAGCTAATGTATAATATTAATCACATGTACAACATTTTGAAATCGACGGATCGCGAACACTGCCTAAGCCAATCAACGCTTTGAATTCTATTACCGTAATATGTACCAGGCCATATGAGTTATTGTATGCTACACAGATGCAGTGAAAATGGTTAAATTTAGTGCTAAACTTGCTCCAGTTGCTCCTACGGTTACCATAATTAACACAAAAGACCCAATAATACACGCATAACGTAAATATTCTTTCGTTAATAAAGATTAATAAAAAAAGACGTCGACTCGCTAACCTGGCGATCTCGTGTTCGATCCTACCGTTGGCCGAGAAATTTCATCGAGATATTCCGGCGTAGTTTCTCCTGGGCCTGGCATCGTTCGGGTTGAACGATACACCGAAGCCCCGTATACATGTGACTGGGTCATGATTAGATTTCAAAGTGTGTTAAAGACAATTTTTGTACATATATACGTGTTTTATATAATGTGTCTATAGGCCATTCGACCTAATTACTAAAATAAACGTATTATTTTTATTATAACATGTTTGTTTCAGGATTGTGTTGGTTTCATTTCATTTTCATGTTTAAGAGACGCTGCATGATTTGAAATATGTACCAAAACAAGTCAACTAGATGATGCTCTTTCGCTTTCTTTTTGGGGTGCGGGTGGGGTGGCTTGGTGGTTGCATTGTCCCTCCAAATGAGGTTCTCTTGATACTCTCGACTGTATCATGTTGTAAAGATTTTTCATTATGTCATAAATCAGTGGGCATATCTACAAGTAACCCATGGACTGGTATTGGCTTTTCTGCACTGGTGGGGAGCCACGGTGGGTAAGACGATGCAGCGCTCGCTAGTCTGGAGGTCTTTCCGACGTGGTTTCCCTGTGTCAGTGGTGCAAGACGGTGGGCCTGACAAGGGCGAAAATCTGAGGTCCCGTATACACATTGGCGTGCACGTAAAAGATCCCTTGGCAGTTGGAATTCGATATAAGAGTAGGCCATAGTGCCGCTGCCCGGGCAAAATTTCCCTCATAACCTACTGCATGGCATATGCCCGTCTTCATTATCCCAGTCGGGGCAGAACAGTAGGACGTCAAACTCCATTCCATTTCATTTCCTTAGCTAGTGGGACTGTAAATAATTCTCCACGTGTACCGATATTGGCGATTATTCAATTGATATTGTTTTTAATGCGACTATGGTCTAAATTACCGACTGCGCTACTTGTGAATGTGATATTATGTACGTATTGAATAACATTACTGACGAATAATACCTAACAGTCGGTGCATATCGACTTATAAGCATATACACAATTACCTCACAAATCTAGGTAACAGATGTCTTGAATAATCGACAAGCAAGGTGGTTGACGGTCGTTTCGAGTAAAATCTGGAACTACTAACACTAGCCATAGATACACTTAATATATCAAGATTACTCCAGGTAAGGTATATTGTTACAATCGGCTATACTTTAGAATCCGTGAACCATCAACCCCAGCCAGAGATACAGTAAATATATCAGGAGTAAGGTATAGTGTCTCCAGAAGTAAATATATCAGGAGTACCCCATGGTAAGCTATAGCGTTAAATTTTGATCACTCTTTCTGGTAAATATCACAGAAGTGACATTCCAAACATAATACATTAACATTGTGTTGCTGACAGCACATTATTTGAGGTTGGAGGGCACACAATACATCAATCGATGGGCTTACTAGTGGGAACTGTTCCAACCCCATTCATGGCTAATGCACATTTAAATATTCTTGGCTTGGATATTAAGATAAATAACAGTAAATTAAAATTGGATTTGAAGATGTAAAATACCTACCAATTTATAGAAACATACGAGATTTTAATATACTGTATTCTATTCACAGACATTAAGCTCTTTAACAATACGTAACGATCAATAATTATTTTGTTCTAGAATAAGATATGTTATCGTTAGTTTGCTTTTCACAGTTTTCACGACAGGCTCGGGACTGTACAACGCATTGACCACTTACGGCTAGTCCATTCACAAATGTGTGTTTGTAGTAATTGAGTGTAGGTTGAGGTTTCTGTGATGAGGATTAATACTAATAAATCCTTTATTTATTTTAACTAATAGGCAATATAACAGATCAGATAACGACCACTTGTTTTCTTCCATGTCGAATTGGCCAAAGACTAAACAAGATGGATCCAGTGAGGTTCGTATATTAAATAGACTAGGGTTAACTGGGGTAAGATACACAGTAGTTTAAGCCCCGTCAGACCGGGGTGGCGTCCTTACTGCGCTGCTGCGACCGTACGGGGACCAGCAAATGCACAAGGTCACCGCCAAACGGGAACACAACGGGATAAAATGTCCCCAAAAATTACAAACATGAAAAAAGTCGCCTTCTCACAGCTTTTCAGGTCAGATCGCAGAACCTTGGCGTTTGTTTTGAACATGCTCAAAATAAACGGCGATCATTGCCGACCACGGCACGATATCTGGCGTTTCCATCACGCTTTTACCACGCTAATGACGATCTTGGCGCGCTCTGAGACCATTTTCTGTCGCCTTAGCAGCGCAGTAAGGACGCCACTCCGGTCTGACGGGGGTATTATATAGTTTGGTGGCGACCATCTTGGATTGCAAAATGATGTCATGTGTTTTCTGTCCAGTGGTTGCTTGTTTCACCCTTTAAACCTAGGTATAGAAACAAACCTTGGCCCCCTAACATGAATAGTAAGGGTGTTATCGTGAAATCGCTGGGAGTTTTTCAAAACTGTGGTCTCGATTTCCTGTAAGAACACACCAGACTTGTTGGGTTTAAAGGTCAATCACGTTGCTCTCGGACGTGATTGGGCGATTTCAAAATGGCGCTAAAAGGGAGAGTGATAGCTAAAGCCATGGAGAATTAGTACTGGGCCAATACTAAGCAAGTGACCGCTCCTATTGAATTTCAGCAATTTTCGTTTATAACTTCTATGGTTAAGGCCTTTGTGTCACTTCACTGAACATTGTGAACGCTCTAACGACACATTCAGTCGTCCAGTCGCGATCTGTATTGAATTCACATGCATAAGTTAGATTATTTAAACGAGTGGACCTATTGAATCGAGTGGACCTATTGAATGTCAGCAATTTCCGTTAATTCTAGAGTTATGGCCCTTGCTTCACTTTTTAAAAATTTGTGATCCGTATTAAATTTACATCATTCAAATTAGTAAAAGAAAGAAACTTGTCGAAAAGTTAAAATTCGATCTATATTAGATTTATTTGGATTAGTAAAAGGATGAATTTTATTAAATTTCAACAATTTCTGTTTATTACTTGTAAGAGTTATGACACCTATTTCACTTTGTTGAACCCTTAGTGAAAGCTCCAGCTACATAATTTATCGTCCGGTCTGTACATGCGCTATTTGGTTTAGTAAAACGAAATGAAATGGGGTTTACCGTTTTACTGTTCTGCTCTGACTGGGCTTTCTGAGAAAAGTTTATGAAAAATCTGCCGTAATGTTGTTGAAAATGGTATTTTATTCCTAAATTAGCTATATTCTACAATATGCATCAAAATCAGAATAATTTGAAATTACAACCATTAACGAAGAATCCTATCGAGTTTCAGCCCTTTCCGATAACAACGTCTACAGTTATGGCCCTTGTGAACGCTCTAATCATAAAAGTCAACAGTGTCTTGCAAATGCTCCGGTTACCTGCAAAATAATGAATATGCGAGAACCCGTGTCGACTGCACGTAAGATTTAGCTGCTATGGGTGTATACTTTGTTGCCTGGCAACCTATCTTTATTTAACTGATGATGAAACTCAAAATACACGTATAATGCATAAAATTATTTGATGAGTTGATATCGGACTAAATTCCCGTTAAAATGCAAATAGTAGCAAAGCGTGGAATACTTATATCAACGTTGTGGGTTCTTCCGCAAATAGAGGCGAAGTATCAAGGTTGTGCCCCTCCCACAGATAGAGACAAAGCATGTTATATATATTCCAAAGATCTTGGATGAGTTTACAAATATGGCGATACAACTCCTCCACTCACCAACTACCGCTTCCACTAAACACTTGTCGACAACTGTAACAGCTATGGTGTTTAACGGATTTGGTGTGAAAAAGTGTGGCCAAACACTATCGATATTTAAACTACGCCGTTCCAAAGGAATTCCCACAATTTTCGGAACCCTTGCCACAGCGATAGATTCTATAGTTTTTAATACATTGTTTTCAAAGTTGGTGAGGATTGGAATCATGGTGGGATGAGATATCCCTCGTCTCCGAAACCCTTGTAAACACAATATAGGCCACAGTTTTCAAATTTGGTAGGAAGTATCATGAGAGGACGAACCAAGTCAACGTTACGTTTCGGAGTTATTCCCGCTTAAGAACGCGATAGAGGCTACATCTTTTAACGACATATTTCAAATTTGACGTTCCAGAGTTATCACCGATTTACCAAACACCTTGTGGGCGCGATAGAGGCTATAGATTTTAACGGATTTGGTGTAAAACAAATGGATCATGGCAGGATGAACCCTATCGAAATTCATATTTAGCGTTCCGAATTCATAAAATTTGCCCAACATCCAAGTTTTCCTTTCGGATAAGCTGCCGTCGAGACAAAGCTACTGTATGGGCGTAGCCATCATTTTTCAGTTTGTTATTAAATACACAGAGAAAAATGTATTGCAACACTCGAATGTATATCCTATCAAAATAAATTCATTGCGAAAGTTAAATATCTGCGAAAGTGAAAGCTGCCAATGCAGCGCATAAGATGGCATGAACCAATTATTTGTGTCATGCAAATCATGTCTGAGTTATCAGCCATTGCATTGGGGACATTTTTAAATCAATGTCTGTATTTCCAATCTACAGCGAATGATGGCAGGTTATTTGCATATTTAATGCTGTGAATTTGACGTGAAATATTGCACTACAGTTGGGTAACCATCCCTAGAACATTGGTAGATTTTTACGAAAACATTAACAGCCTCTAATGACGTAAAGCGCCGTCAACGTTCTGGTAGACAGGTCTTTTGAGACTCGTGCGAAATCATGCTGTTGCGCCAAGCAATACGTCGAAAAGGGAATGGCTACCGAGTCTCCCCCTATCCTACAGGACAGTTTTTTTTACCGTTTTTTTACCGGCTCAAATCGGCCGAATATGACACATAAGACGATCTATCTTGAGACGAAAAAAAGCGCCCAATTGTCCAAAAATGCTACTTACAACCTTATCTTGTCATATTTGGAGACTCTTGGGTGTACAATCCCTCGGATGAGTCCATAAGTTTAGAATCCTGACGTACGATTTGGAACAGCTAGTACACCATGAATGCAAAAGACTATCACCAGATACATTCTTGTTTATCTGTATTGCGTCTCTATGGGCCACTTGAACATGACATGAAATGAGATGAAGAACAGGATTTGTTCCTTATGATCTGTACCAGGCACACTATTCCGTCTCTGTATTTTAACTAGACATTAAATTATCTACTTAAGCTAACGTTTTTATCTTTCTTTGCTGGTTTCTTCGAGCCAGTCCAGGAAGACTCAATACCCCACAGTTAACATATCTGATCAACAAACACTAGCACTAGATTCAATAGGGTTTGTTGCAATACTTTTTTCTCCGTGTATATTTATATAACCTTTAAGACTAAAACGACATCTTTATTATATTGTAGGCTATTTATTGCTGCTAGATTGCATAAAGCTTTGAAACGTCTGTTAAAACATGGAGTAGATTTACATTATGTTGATAGCCAGAAATACAAGCAGATACGAACATTTTTGAATATTTATGACAATACATTGTTATTACAATGTGTTATTCAATTAGTTGATGCTGGTGTGGACGTAAACCAGGTGAATAAATTTAATGATTTTCTTCTACTTAAAGATGTTCTTCATCCACAAGATTACAACTTAGACCAGATTGATGACGGCTGTAATGATTTTGATGAGGATGATGATTATGATGGTTATGATATAGATAAAGATGATGATTATAGCGAATATAACTACCAGTATTTTACACTGAATACGGATGATGGACTTGGAGAAGATTTCATGAATACCTGGATGTTTCCTAATGGTGTCAATGGTATTCATCACCTTTTTGATGATAAAAATAATCGTCGTCTTTTTGTAGATGATCGTCATTATTTTGATGATGAAGATGATGTTGAAGATGATGATGAAGATGATGACGAAGACGATGATGATGAAGATGATAGTGACTACGACGACGATGAAACATATATTAATAATGATAATAATACTGATGATACAAATGATGATGATGATGATGGTGGGGACGATGACGATGATTAAGATAGAGATTATACTAATATTGGTGGTATGATTGAGAATAACAAGTTCCAAACGCAATTCATAAATTCAATTATACCTCATCATATATATCCAGTGCACAAGTACGACCCCTGCTAATTAATATTAATAGATACCACAGTTTACATGTACACATTATCTCTATTTACATCTACGGCTTTTGTCAAGTTTTGTCATCATGTACAATTACTCACCATGCAACATTATAAAGAACAAATCAGTATACGGTAATCGGCATTCCATATTTTCTTGTTCACGGCTACTTGTCATACAATATCGTAAACATCATTTCATGAAAACAGTCATTCATAATGTTCTTCTGGTTTATACTGATTGTTAAACTGACATTATGTTTTACAAATATTTATCGATTACATGTTTCTATCAACGCTATTCTTTATCTGGGGTAACTTAATCTGACCAGCGACCAATTGCAGCAGGAATTACCTGTGCATTTAGTGTATGTTTAAATTTCTTAACACGCATAACACACTTTAGCATTTTTATAGATAAGCTGGGCTATACAAAATCTCATCATTATTATTATTAGATTATTTCATTTTGTAAAATACATTTCTCGATGTTTATAGATATATAATCCATGTTATAGCTGATAAAAAAAATTAGAATGCTTTTATACGCCGACATAAAAAAATGTCGTAGATGTAGAAGACAATTTCATGTAAACTATTTCCGTGTATTTCTTCTAAGCTATTGCCCTTGTTTCTTTTTGCACAACCTTGTGAACGCTCAAACGACAAAAGTTACTATCCGATCTGTATAAAATGTATGTGCATTATTAAAACGAAGAAACTTATCTAATTTCAACAATGTCCGT